TGCTTCTTTAACACAGTTAAAGTCCAAACAGATGTCTTCCTGGAGGGGCCAGGCCGAGGTTTGGCAGACGGTAACTCAACACCACCATCAGCCTTGAAACGCTGCACCCAGTTCCTCACTGAGCACTCACACTAACATTCTCCATTATTTCTTTCGTCTGGTGCCCAGCTTTGTGAAGCCCTATGATTTGAGCTAAAGTTTCAGGTGTTACAGACTTTCTTTTACCCATAATCAAAGATGTATAGCCCCAAAACCAAAGGAAACACTGAACAAAAGATGAGGCGGATGAGAGACAAAAGTGCAACACTTCCTCTCACCACGGCAGCCACGTGAGCAATGAGAAATCATTGTGAAGTGTGGCGGCAGGCCATGACATCATGCTAACGGCTGCTAGCCAACAGAATGCACTGACAAAAAAAAAAAAAAGATCCCCCCTGTATGGCAGGCCTTTGATTTTCATCACAGCATTATGCCGGGGCGCTCACCCGGCATAATGCTGTGACGAGCACTGTATATCACATGGTTCTTCAACCTTAAATAGTCAAAATATTGATCAGAATATTAAAAAAAAAAACTTACGTAATAGAGGCTAAACATGCTCAGATTCGTAATCAGCACATCATACCTGGTTACCTGGAGGTTATTCCGGGGATCAACGCCCCCGCGGCCCGGTCCACGACCAGGCCTCCCGATGGATCAGGGCCTGATCAACTAGGCTGTTACTGCTGGCCGCACGCAGTCCGACGTACGAGCCACAGCCCGGCTGATCCGGCACCGACTTTAGGTATCTGTCCAGCTCTCTCTTGAAGGCAGCCAGGGGTTTATTGGCAATTCCCCTAATGCTTGATGGGAGGCTGTTGAACAGTTTTGGGCCCCGGACACTTATGGTGTTTTCTCTTAGTGTACCAATGGCGCCCCTACTTTTTATTGGCGGCATTTTGCATCGCCTGCCCAGTCTTTTACTTTCGTAGGGAGTGATTTCTGTGTGCAGATTTGGGACCATTCCTTCCAAGATTTTCCAAGTGTAGATTATGATATATCTCTCCCTCCTGCGTTTCCAACGAGTACAGTCAAGTGCTTCCAAGCGTTCCCAGTAGTTAAGGTGCTTGACAGAACTTATACGTGCAGTAAAGGATCTCTGTACACTCTCTAGATCTGCGATTTCACCTGCTTTGTATGGAGATGTTAATGTACAGCAGTATTCCAGCCTAGAGAGAACAAGTGATTTGAAAAGGATCATCATGGGCTTGGCATCTCTCGTTTTGAAAGTTCTCATTATCCATCCTATCATTTTCTTTGCACGTGCGATCGTGGCATGTTGTGATCCTTGAAAGTGAGATCCTCAGACATTACTACTCCCAGGTCCCTTACATTATTTTTCCGCTCTATTGTATGGCCGGAGTCAGTAGTATACTCTGTTCTAGTTATTATCTCCTCCAGTTTTCCATAACGGAATAGTTGGAATTTTTCCTCATTGAACATCATATTGTTTACCGTTGCCCACTGGAAAACTTTGTTTATATCTTCTTGGAGGTTAACCGCGTCCTCAGCAGATGACAGCCTCATGCAGATCCTAGTATCATCCGCAAAGGATGATACGGTGCTGTGGTGTATATCTCTGTTTATGTCTGATATGAGGATAAGGAATAAGATGGGGGCGAGTACTGTGCCTTGTGGAACAGAGCTCTTCACTATGGTAGCCTCCGATTTAACTCTGTTGACCACTACTCTTTGTGTTCGATTTGTTAGGAAGTTGAAGATCCATCTCCCCACTTTCCCAGTTATTCCTTTAGCACGTATTTTATGGGCTATTACGCCATGATCGTAGCTTAAAACAAACAATCTGGTTTCTGAACTGGATAAAAAATTAAACTTGTTGGCTAGTCTTAATGAAGACGGGACACCACAAGCACTCAGTAGATACAAATAGGTAATTCGATTCTCGTACAGTCACACACCTTCACACACCCTCACACACACACACACACACACACACACACACACACACACACACACACACACACACAACACACACACACACACCACACACACACATACACATACACACACACACACACACATCTACATGTACACCTACACACACCTGAGCTGGAGTAGGTGGGAAGGTGTAGGTGCCGTGGACAGGCCAGCCAATCCTATCCGCACAATCCTATTGTCATTTAATGAAATCTTGGCCCAATTCTGAATTCAATCCTATTTGGCTGAGAAAAAGGGGATGGAAAGCCTTATTGGATCGTGGGACCCATCTGTACATCAAGGATTTCTCTCCCTTCTCTCCCCTTCTTCCTTACCTCCCTTTATTCTTCTCTCCTATTCCTCCCTCTCTTCCCTTACTTTCACTTCTAACTTCAGGTGATCCACCTTTATTCCTCTCACACTTATCGTCTTTCTTTTCACTTTCTTCTCTTTTTATTCTATATCTTCCATTTCTTTCTCTCTCTCTCTTTCTCTCCCCTCCTTTATAGGGGTAAAGTAACGTGAAAGGTAAACTGGGAGACGTGAGATACATACGTACATTATTTTAATATTTCAGTTTAATCCCATCTATCCTAGATGATTTACCCGTTTTCAATCTATCCATTGTCTCACACACTGTCTCACGCACTGTCTCACACACTGTCTCACGCACTGTCTCACGCACTGTCTCACACACTGCCTCACACCCTGTCTCACATACTGTCTCACACACTGTCTCATGCACTGTCTCGCACATTGTCTCACGCACTGTCTCGCGCACTGTCTCACACACTTTCTCCACATCTGTTTTTTTTTCCTTACTCTTAAAAGATAAGAGTCCGTCCAGAATTTTAACCCAGAGGGTTAGCCATCCAGGATAACTCGGAGGGTTAGCCATCCAGGATAACTCGGAGGGTTAGCCATCTAGGATAACTCAGAGGGTTAGCCATCTAGGATAACTCAGAGGGTTAGCCATCCAGGATAACTTGGAGGGTTAGCCATCCAAGATAACTCGGAGGGTTAGCCATCCAAGATAACTCGGAGGGTTAGCTATCCAGGATAACTCGGAGGGTTAGCCATCCAGGATAACTCGGAGGGTTAGCCATCCAGGATAACTCGGAGGGTTAGCCATCCAAGATAACTCGGAGGGTTAGTTATCCAGAAAAACTCGGAGGATTAGCCATCCAGGATAACTCGGAGGGTTATCCTGGATGGATCAATGCATCATCGGGGTCTGTGTTTTATTTCCACTGAGGTCGTTTAATCTTATTCCTCAGAAGTGGGACCCATAACAGTCAACTAACACCTAGGAACCTACTTACTTTTAGGTGAAGAGAGGCAGCAGGCAGAAGGAAACATGCTTAACGTTTCACTCGTGCCGGGGTGAAACGGCAAAGCTGTCTTTTTTTTTTTTTTAACTTAATCTCCTTCCAAAACTTTTTATTATTTTCAGAAATATTTGTTGCTGAGACCTCAGCCACTCTCTCTCAGTGGTTCTGCTTTTGCGCTCCCTTCACCACTCTTAAGTTTCAACTCTCTTTTTCTCTCCCTGTATTCCTTCCATATGGTAACTTTTATCATACCACGCCCTCTTTAACCTCTCATCTCACCACTCGTTTTTCTTCCCACCAACACCCATCCTCCTAAACCCACAAACTTCTATTACACACTGACATTGCATTCTTAAATTTAACCCCATATATTTCGATCCTTCTCTCTTAATTATCTTTACTCTCTCTCTCTCTAGCTCACTTTTCTTCGGATAACTGCTCATATGTTACCCTAATTATCCTCTTTAATTTATTAACTTTCACTTCACTCTTGCCCACGGATGACATTACTCTCTTATTCCATCTACCAGTTACTCTCATTGTGGCTAAGATCACAAAATGACCTGTCTATGTCCCCGTTAAAAACATGCACATCAGAGAATCTGCATATCCACCCTCTATCTATTAATACAGGGTCTATCAAACTGCTGTCATTATTCCCTATATCATATCTCGTGAACTTATTTATTCTCTTTCTTAAAATATGTAATGCCTATCAGTAAACTTTTTCCTATATATAATTCAATCAAAGGCCCCATTATCATTTAACCTCTAACGCCCTAAACTTACCTACTATACCCTCTACAACATCTTGTCAGACTTAAGCATTTAGGTCCCCCACAACAATTAGTTTCTACTCATGTTCGAAATTGCCTAAACATTCACTGAACACCTCCCAAAAGTCTCTCTCTCTCTGTCTCTCTCACACACACACACACACACACACCACACACACACACACACACACACACACACACACACACACACACACACACAACACAAACACACACAAACACACACACACACACACACACACACACACACACACACACACACACACACACCACACACACACACACACACACACACAACACACACACACACAAACACACACACACACACACACCACACACACACACACACACACACACACACACACACCACACACACCACACACACACACCCACCACTCACTCACTCACTCACACACACACACACACACACACACACACACACACACACTCAAACAAACTCATACACACATACACACACACACACACACACACACACACACACACACACACACACACACACACACACACACACACACACACACCACACACACCCACACATACGTACTCATATACAACAGGCCTAGTGTCTAATCGACATGTGCCTAGGACAAAATGGTAACACACACACATATACGTACTCATATACAACAGACCTAGTGTCTAATCGACATGTGCCTAGGACAAAATGGTAACTAACAGGTAGAGAAACTCTTACTATAATCCACTCCTCACATTCCACCCTTATTCTAATTCACATAATTCTCGAATTCAAACATTTATACTCCTTTCTCCTTCCACAGTGGCTTACTTAATATTATCGCTACTATTTCTTTGTGTTTGTTCTTGGTATTGCTCTTGATATGCACTTTGCAATATTAATTTATTTTTCTTTTCCCAGGTTAATTGTGGCTGTGTTGACCATCGCCAGCGGGTTCAAGGTAGGTCATGCCTCACTCTGCGTAATGTGACATTACCTGTAGTTCTAAATTTATACTAGGCTTAGCTTACCTCGACAGTTATGTACGTGTCCATGAAGTACAACTGACTCTGAATTAGTCACAGTATTTCATACATACTGGGGGATATAATTTGGAATTAAAATATCTTTGAAAAACCACACCATACCAGAGATCATTTTCCTCGGAGATATCAACCTCCCAAATATGAAATGGAAAATGGTAAATCACAGCACTGTACCAGAAATAGTTTCTGGAAGTACGTTACCCCTCAAGGGAGGTTCCTTGGCGCTGGTGAGGGGCTCTTGATCTAGGGAATTGGATCTGTGCTCCGGCAACCTAAATTGAGCCTGATTACCTTCCATCTTCCCCCCCCCCCACATGCGCTGTATAATCCTACGGGTTTAGCACTCCCCCATGATTATAATAATAATGGAAACACGTTAGCTGATCAGTTACCTATCAGAGAATTAATGAGGCTTTGTGTAAAGTGTGCTTTAAACCAACACATAACAGAATCTGCCAGAAATAAAAACACTAGATTTGATATACACGAACAGAGAAGAGCTAATCAGAGACAATCACAAATAGTCTGATCACAACACAGAAATACAAACAAGTAAAAATCCAGGGGTAGAAAACTGCACTAATATTGTACCAGAAACAATGTTCAGTAAATTTAACTTCAACAACCAGTTATAACATGAACAAAATAAAAAACAATGAGACATCAATTTACTCTTCTTTCCCCTTGGTCAAACGGGTTTGGGTTTAAACCTTATCAACGCATAAGCATCGCGCAAATACTAGATCATCTTAATATTCTTTTCTGAGGATGAGGGTCCCTAGAATATTTTCTAAGGTGGTACCTCTTTTTTATTATATATATATATAATATATATTTATATATATATATATATATATATATATTATATATATATTATATATATATTAAATATATAAAATTACTATTATATACATTTTAAATATATATACATATATATACATATATATACATTATATAATTATACTTTATATATACATATATATACATATATACATACATTATACATACATATATAATACATATATAATACATATATATACAATATATACATATATATATATATATATATATATAAAATATATATATATATATATAATATATATATATTATATAATATTAATATTTTATATAAATATTATATATATAATATATATATATATATAATATATATATAATATTATATAATATATATATATATATATATATATATCTTGGCGTTGAGAATACACGCAGAAAGCCAAATTTTCAGCTTATTTTTATGAGATTTTCGTTCCTAGGATCTGCGTTTCAGCTGTCAATATTATCTTCAAAATAGTCTTGCGTACCCATTGCAGTTATGGTCGGAAATGCCCCAATCTTAGTGGGAAGCGACGACTCAACTGGAAACCAAGGTTAAGCACTAACTTGTCCTGAGAACCTTAATTTGGACCGAAGGGTGGGTGGGGACACAGAGGTCATCAATCATGCAATTGTCACGACTAAATTGATGTCAAACAAACTAACGCACAGGTTCCTGTGGACAAGTGGCTCGCCGCTGAGGGGTTGAGCGAGAGGAAAGGGCTGTGATTGGTTGGGTATGAGAGGGGAAGGAATTGCAGAGGAGAGAACGTGAGGGTTTGAAAATAAGAGAAAAGTGAGTTAGAGGGGAACGATGGTTAAAAGAGCAAAGGGGAAAAGGGTAAGGGGTTGGAGATGAGAAAGGAAGAATGAGAGGTTAGTGATCAGAGCGACGGGAAGGCTTTTAAATTCCCACTCGCTGTCCACTCTCTCTCTCTCTCTCTCCCCTCTCTCTCTCTCCCCTCTTCCCCTCTCTCTTCCTCTCTCTCTCTCTCTCTCCCCCTTTTCTCTCTCTCTCCCTCCCCCTCTCTCTCTCTCTCTTTTACACGGGTTTGACAAGGTTAAGGATCCCTAGCTTTTTTGACAAGCTATTTACAGGTTAAGGATTCATAACTTTATTGGCAAGCTAAGAGCTGTTACCTACATCAGCTCATTTGAAAGCATTTTTATTGTTATGAGAAAATACAATTTAGGGAACAGGATGAAGTTGGAGCTATCTGTGGGCCAGCATTTTCATTTGATCAACTGACTTTATCTAGTTGACATCATTATGCTGTACGAATGTGTTCCTTTACTCGAGTCATCCGGGGTATATGGATCCCCAGATGGAGTGAAGTTCTGGAGAAGGGTACAGCCAGAGTGAAGCTGCTGCTTTCTGCCCGTCTTGTGGCATAAAAGCTTGTTTCACGCGTCCTCGAAGTGGATCCAAGTGTGGGACTTTTGACAATATTGGCCTTGTACATAACGTAAGGCCACCCACATCCCTCCTATGATGAAGGCTCTGCTGAAATGACAACTATCCAGGATGGGTCCAGGCGAGAGATGAGACGTCCCTTTCTCTGTTCTTTACTCTGTCAAGCAGTCCCCAGATGAGAGGGGGGGGGGCAGGCAAACCAAGAAAGTGGAGCATACTCAAAAGGGGTGAGCGTTACTTGTGCCCCGTCCAGAATCTTGCAAACCCCCACTGTTTAAGTAGAAAGCGAGATACGGCGAAGTGCTGTAAGCTTCCCGGCTGCCTTGTTTGCAAGATTTACAACATGGTCTTCATGGTTAGTTTGGAGTCAAATTTCACCCCCAAGGATATCAACTTCCCAGGTGCCAACACCCTCCCATTCATCCTTACTACTGCACCAGCTTACCATCATGGTGCCTACAGACGATCATCATTTTTCGTTTTCTCAGGTGCAAATGTTACTTGCCATCTATTTCCCAAGCTGATATACTCTCAGCTGGTGATTGAAAGTAGCTTAGAGCAGCTGGATAAGTTGAATGTTCAGTGTGCAGTCGTCTGCATATGCATGTGATTCTGGGATGAGATGAAGGTCGTTGAAGTGGACATCCATAACAATGGTCCCAGCACGCTTTCCCTTTTGGAACACTTGCCCCAATAGGATGTCTTGCTGATTTTCCGTTCCATTGAGAACTACACTTTGAGAATCTACCATGAAGGTAATCACTGAGGAGACATAGCGTAGAGCCTGCAATACCCCGTGCTTGAAGTTTTGCTAAGAGGCCCTGGTGCCACACCCGGCGACAGCGCCAGCAAAGCCCAGTGCTACCACACAGCTGACTTTGGATTCATCCAGTGACTGGTGCCACTTAGTGGAGAGGTTTAACAACAGATCAAGCAGAGTAACCTTTCCTGAGCCATATTGACGATCACAAAGTAGTGATGATAGTCAAAAAACCTGTCATTTGTCTTGAGAAATTTTTGTCCCCCAAGGATCTTACCAGTGAATTTACAGGAGCGACACTGGTCTTAGTTGCTGATTTCTGCTCTGCTCTTCTTTTTGTGAACAGGGGCTACATTTGCCTCTTTCCATAGAGAGGGCCATTTACACTGTACTAGGCAGTGCTGAAAGATGTGAGTTAGAGGTGCTGCTAGCTGGTCTGCACATCTTCTCAGCAATCTTGGGCTCAACTTGTCTGGGCCACAGCCTATTCTTGGTCAAGCGATTTAAGAAGGAAATGCACCTCCTCCTGCCTTATTGTCACCACTGACAGTTTTGACACAGTTCTTGCAGCTAGCCAAGGAGGGTCCCTTGCTGGATCAGGAAAATTGCATTTTGGTTTCAAAGTGTTCAGCAAAGAGGTCCGCCTTCTCTTGACTACTAGTAGAGGTGGTCCCATCCTGTCTATTTATAGGTGGAATGAGTTCATCAGGCAGATAACCTTGTCTGTCCTTGGCCAGAAACCACCAGGTTTTGGACCCTACCCTACCTGATGCTAGCTTTCTTTTAGTGTCCACCTCCCATTTAGCAATGGCCCACTTTTGAACGTCACCCATATGTCTACAGGCTTGCCTGTGCAAGTTCCTGTTATAGGTGGTAGGATGTCTCTTATACCTTCGCTATGCTTTGTACTTAGCAGTAGCAGCCTCTCTACAACGAAAGCCAAACCAAGGCTGATCCGTAGGCTTCGTCACATATTGCCGGTGAGGAATGTGCTCTTGTTGTAGATTAAGGATGTGTCCAGTGAAGACTTTCACTTGGTTGTCAACATCACTTTGGAGAAGAGCATTCCAATCGGTGGTGGCGAGCTCAGAGCGAAGGGCTGGCCAATTACCTCTTTTCCATAGCCAGGTTGTGCGTGTGGACTCCTCACCTCGTTCTGTTGGGATCTAAGTGTCGTAAAAACAGCCTTGTGGTCAGACGATCCAACATAGCCGAGGGGTTGACAAGTGACTATGCCTTCTGTCAGATCACTCACTACTGGGTCAAGGGAGGAGCCAGAGATGTGAGTAGGGAAATCAACAAAGTTTCTCATGTCAAACACTGCAAGAAGGTCATCAAAGTCCCTCTGTATAAGGTGCTGGTTGAGGTCACCAACAATTATGATATGTTGAGAGTTGTGTTGTAGCAGAAGGGAGTCAATATTTTCCATTAGGAAGTTGATGGGATCTGCATGTTGCCACTGAGGTCTGTACATTGCACATGCTAGTACAGAGGTTCTAGTGTTTATGCAGAGCTTGAAGAACATCATTTCAAGATGTGTAGGGGTGGCAACATCAATGTGCTGGGCATGAACACTTTTAGAGAAGCACACAGCAACACCTCCTCCTTGCCCTTGCCTGTCTCTTCTCATCCATGAGGTGTAGCCAGCAATTCTTGCAAAATTTTCTGGAGTCCTGTCATCCAAAAATGTTTCAACAACAGCTATCATGCCGGGACGTCGAGTGTTCACAAAACTGTGTGTGAGCTCTCCAACATTAGTAATGAACCCTCTAATGTTGGCCGACAGGATGCTGATAGACTGGCTCCTCATGATGATGTGGTCAGCTTGAGGTGGTGGGTGTGTAGGGAATGTGAGGTGCCTGCCCTTGAGAGAGGTAGGGTACTGAGGCAGCTGCAGGGATGTA